AAGGACATATCCTGGAGCCTTGCTTCAACAAGCTGCGCCGGTGCTGTACCTGACGACTGACCAGCAAAACCTGCACCTTTTGCTTCTTGACTTGCTTTTGAAACACTGATGTAACGGAACTGTAACTCAAGTTATCAATGAAGTAAAGTTGTTCGAGGTACTTCGAGTTACAGTATATGTCCAGCTAAATTAATACATTGAAGTTAATTAGTTAGAGGTACTGACATAGCAAGAGGTACTTAGAATACCTCAATAGGTATATTAGACTTATTCGAAATGCAACTGCCTTATATTTCAAAGACAAATTGCCCAGTTTTCACTTAATAACTCAAATATTTTCTGTTTCATAATCTCCGTCTATCTGCACTTAATTGACGATGCAGTTAGTTCACGCATATGTTTTAAAACTTTGTTAAATCCGTAATTCCCTTCAGCGCAAAATTCATCATGAAAATTATTTTTCCTGATAATTTTCAACTGTAAACTTGAAATAATTGAAATTCGTGCTATAACTGTGATAGTTATTCATTCATTACAATTATCAAACAAATTACAATTTGCGCGATAATTTGTGCGATAATAGTATTACAATAGAAAAAGTAGGTGCAACTATCCTACAAAGATAACAAAATTCATCACCAAATTAAAATCAGTTCACTAGTCTTTTGGATAACGTGATATTTGTACCCATGAAAACCTTACCACTTTGATTTTTTATGCAACTTTTTGTTACCGTTTCTAAATTTTGAAAAAATACATGCAGATATACATTGATCTCACGAAACAACTGCACACAGGCTTTTCCTGTAAATATCATCACAATTATGTACAATTATACGTGTCTATTTGGGTCACGAGAACGATGGTGTAACCACGCATGACTCATCAAATTGCATTCAAAACGCAATATCGGGATTACGAATGATTTTATTAACGATGTCTATGGACGCGTTGTTTGCTCTGTTTCGGAAGGAAAGACAAATTTTATCAGAAAAAAAATATTTGAGTTTAAAAAACGAAGGATAACAAATATAGGCGTCTAATTCACATCATACATTCCTCATTAGTTGTACCTTTAAACAAAACAAAGAACCACCTCGTATCAATTTAAACTTCATCAAAAATTTAGTTTAAAAAAAGTGGGGGCGCGCTGCCCCACGTTACCCTACCACTTTGAATTTTTTATGCAACTACTTTGAATTTTTTATGCAACTTTCTGTTACCGTTTCTAAATTCTGAAAAAAATACATGCAGATATAAAGTGATCTCACGAAACAACTGCACACAGGCTTTTCCTGTAATATCATCACAATTATGTACAATTATACGTGTCTATTTGGGTCACGAGAACGATGGTGCAACCACGTATGACTCATCAAATTGCATTAAAAACGCAATTTCAGGATTACGAATGATTTTATCAGCGATGTCTATGGACGCGTTGTTTGCTCTGTTTCGGAAGGAAAGACAAATTTTATCAGAAAAAAAATATTTGAGTTTAAAAAACGAAGGATAACAATCTCGACAGAGATAACTAGGTTTAAATAAGAAATTATTGAAATGCATATTTCGTAATTTATCAACAGATAATGGCGACGTCACTTGGGACTAAATCTAATTGGGAATAGATATTAGTGATTAAATATTAGTGATTAGTGATTAAATAATTTACATAATTGCTTTATATCATAAATTGAAAATTTCCCTCGGTTAAATTGGGCTAGTTTATCTTGTCAGTGCTACAATTAACATCGCAAACATTATTCAACGAGTCCTAAAATTAAAGGTATCTTTAATTTAGATAAAAATTTTAATTGTGCTATTCCGACAAAGCTCTCACACAATAGAGAAATTATTCACACCTTTTCTCATCGATACCTTTTGGTGAATCACAGAGACCTTGAACAGCTCACCACAATTATATGGGCTTACTTATTGTACTAATTTAAGTTAAGCGACTTGCTTTTGTGTTCTAGTATTGTCGAGCTGACGAGCTGGAAAATTTTCAGGATACGGTGAATTTTTGCAGCATTTCTTTGCTTATGAATTATTACCTTTTCGGATAAATACTTGGAAATTTTAGGCTAGTAATATTAGTACAAGTTTTGATAGAATAATGATTATGAAGCTTTTCGATAAACTTTAAACGTACCCACCAAATAATAACATTGTTATTACAAAAGGGAGTCATAACATTTAAGGGATCATCTACTTCCAAAAAATATTTCTGTATTTACTGAACGTTCTTTCTGAAACTTGATGCGCATACTATGTAGAACTCAAATATAAAAACTTTTTTTTTGTAAGCAAAACGTGAAATTCCAAAAACGGGAAAAAAGAGACTTTTATGAATCTATCTTGACATTTGATTTACGAGCTAGAGCATCGAGAGACAAGTCATTCGTTTTGTACTGTGTGAAACACAATACATTCACTGTTTACGCTTAATTCGGATATTTTTTGCATTCGTAATTACAATTATAACAAGTTTATAAAGAAATGTACTAGACGATAGTTAACTTGTATTCAAACAAACTAACGTAGGTTTGTATATTCGTTTCCACTGTCCAAATGAACAATTAAATTAACCTGAAATGGATCGCTATAAATTAATGAATTGACGCAGTTACACACTGTCGCAATATCACGTCGAGGAAGTTTATGCATCATGATGTTCGATTCCAACATTTCCAATAACATCAATTGATATTGATGGTTCTAATGCAATGTTCAATAATTCTCTCAATGCAATGACCCTAAAATGCTGGCGGTAAAGTGTGTGAATGTTCAAATTTTGAGTCCCGTCCAGTATGTATTTACCCAATAAACTAGCCACTCGTTGATGTGTAGAGCCTATTGATGTGTAGAGCTTATTGATGTGTAGAACTTATTGATGCTCTAGTGTCATGTCCGAAATGCGGTGAATGAAATTCATGACTGACACTCGTCAATCACGACTGACGTTCATCAATTCCCTGTGTATCTGTCAGAGCGTCGCTGAATTAGCGCAATGGAATTTCAGGCACAATGGCAATAATTATTCATCTGTCACGAGGCGAGCGAGGAACGCGGGAAATCCAAATCCAGGATGTATTTAAAATTATTAGATCCGCTTTTGAATAATGTTTAATTTCTTTCTGAAAGAAAGAAATCAGACTTTCGTGCCACTTAATTATTACCTTCGAAAATATTTAATAATAAAAACGCACCATTTTGCAAATACGTTCCATTTGATTATCAGTTAATCGAAATATGCAATTTCTTTATTTATTTCAGGTTTGAACACAATGCTCAAACCATTTATGCTCGTTATGTTTAGAAATTCGAACTTAAAACTGAAGCAATATAAGTAAAGTTACGTCTGCAAATTAGTCTATTACCGATTATTTGAAAGTTTCATGTCCGGACCGGAAGTTTTTATTGGATCAGGATACAAATGTGGATCTGAAGTTTCACCGGTAAAAAAACGATTAATTGGCTTGGCATCATGAATCAAATAATTTAAAGTATTTTCATGAGCCTATTGCATCAAAAATATAGTCGATACTCGTAAATTAAATTAATAGACAGTTACAGATTTGTTGATGTTACTGAATGAAATAAAAGATAACAGTTACCAGGCAATTTTGTACGATGTTTGATTAGTACATATTATGAGCAGCTTATTTAAGTTTAGTTTGGGATAGATAATTCCTGAGAACCTCGACTATATAAAATTACCGTAATTAAAAATGACGAAAAACGAAAATTTCAGTCCTAATTACGAACACAAAAACAAAAAAATTCGTTCTGAAAACTATTTTCCTTTTTTTGTATATATAATTTGACTTATTTTGCATTAGTTTCATGTTCGAATTCAAAAACAAAATGTGCAGAAGACAATAAAACGAGAGTAATGAATTATTTGATGATGATATATAATATATCATTACATTTACTTAGTCGCCATATCTACATCTATATTTTACAAGGTAGACCCTTCGCTTGAGATGAAAATGGGTATCCTATTTACAGTCATAACTAAGAGTTTTTTTTCGTATGTTTTAAACTCCTGCATTTTGAGTTATTTGAAAGTTATTGAACCACCTCCTGAAAATTTCCGGTAAAATAGTCTATAAACTATATTTTTGACCTAATTATCAAAAAATATTATGATTTATTTGCAATATTCGACAGTGAATCTTTTGCCGACGCTACCATTCAGATTAGCGTCAGAAATATAGTCTTTCTTAATTGCGTAAAATGTTACTGTTCAATTACATTTGTTAATCACTACCACAAATTGTTCCTCTTTATTCTAGAGATGTCTCGTCTAGTTATATATGGAGCTAAGACGTAATAATAATTTTTTTTCGCCAAAATATTGACTATGCATGATGCCTGTACTCATTATACTTACATAATAACTTTAGCAAATAATATGACACATACCATAAGTTGAATGGTCAAGCTTCATACATATATTTATTCATACTATTTTGTCATTTGGTTAAAAAATTAGACAAAGAATGATAAAAAATTGGGTTTATACCGGTGCACTGAGCGGATGTTCACACTGTTCATGCAGTGCTGAAAACGTTCTCGTTAAGCAGTATCGCGTGCCGACAGGTACGGTTGTTACTTTCGGGAAGTTGTTAACTGGAAATTCATCGAATCCTCTCCACAAAAATACAAAAGCACAAACAAATTATCTCACCTCGTACTCATTCGCCAAATCATGTTTGTTGAGGCAATTATCTCGAAGTGGGAAATAATCGCGACTGAATATCATTAATGGGGTGACAATCAGCTCAACAATGGCCATCATATTAGGCCGTCAGTATTGAATGAACCGACACTTTGCTTACGCCATGATCCGGTCACATGCATCCGTGTTTGCCGCTATATATTGCACGGCAGCATGATGACTTGAACACTTTTCGTTGAACTTCCGAACGATCCCGTTCTTTCAGGTGATTTTTTTTTTGAATTTTGAGATTTTGTATTGAAGAATAGGAAATACGTATTGAAAGTTGTAAATAAAATTACTTCTACCACGAATTACCGTCTCTTTCTTCCGTCAGATATACCAAAGCAATACGCATCCAGTCATGAAGGTGACACTTATTCTGGCTTTGGCTTGCGCGGCAGTTACGATCGCCGTGCCATCTGCAATCCCTGACAGGTAAGTAAAGAAGTCATCACAACGAAACATCTTATATAGCAACACATTATACACACCGACACGCATTCTTATATCAGATGCAGTAAAAAAATTTTAGTTAGCTCCTGTAGATTACTAAGAAATCCAACAGACGTAACCGAACAGATATTATGTAGTTTCATTCCATAGACTTTTTTAAACACAAAATGAAATAACGATGGCATGTTGCTAACAGCCTGCATCATCGCGATGAAATGAGAGCTGGATTGGAATTTATCATGATGCAAAATTGACTTCGCCACCAGTAATTTGGTGATGATGCCATGTGTTCATGTTTATATTTATTGCCTCTTACAGAGATTATCAAGGAATAAATTATAATCGTTCTTATCAAGGAATTACACTTTATAATTAATACCTAATTAAGCCGAATAATAAAACGGGAGCCCAAATATGTCTTAACGCTGCTGAGTTCAAATGAGTCGAATTAAAAAAGTAATACTGCGCAGGTCGCGCCTAATTTTATGAAATAGTGACACGGAGTTACGACTTTTTTATCTTATGAAAGATTAAAAAGTCGAAAGGGGAAATACATCTAAGTGTTCTAAATACATCTAAGTGTTCGCAATCTGAGTGTTGTTGCTCAAAAGTATGATATATATCCAGTTTTTTTTTTCAGCTGGAAGATGCAGCAGTGCATGCTGACCATGGTACCTGTGAGCAGCCGCGAGGAATTTGGAAAAGCTTTGATTGCCTGTTTTCAGGAACACTTCGCGACAAGTGAGTCAACTCATACTTCGTTCATAACAAATTATCCAATGCTCAAGACTTCATTCAAAAGTATTAAACAGATAGCCGTTTTCAAATGCTGAACCGTTGATTGAACTAAATATTTAAAGAACTTCCTGAGGCAAAAATAAAGAGAACATTCCTGAACAGTCCGGTCGCCGGCACCAAAAAGTTTAATTTAACTCACTCAATTGTTGACGCTCCGAGTATGAACGCCTTCAAGAACAGACTAGACGAAGCTATGCTGGAGTATATGTTCAGTCTTAAAATGCCTAGCAACTTACGGACCAGACAATAAGTCCAGCAGCTATCTCAATCAATTGTCAGTTATGGAAAGATCGGGTTCCAAAGGCCGGATCCCTTGTGAATCAAGTCACGAAAAGTTCAAGAATCGGCAACAGGCCATGGGCCTATTACTTCAGTGCCGACACGTCAGTTCTATTCTATTCTAATTGTGTTACAAAGAATTATCTGTGCTGCTTGCCCTGGATTTAATTCGATTTTATTCACTAAATTTATCACGATTTTGCCAAGTGGATATAGAGGAAGTGAGGATAATATTTGCACTGCACAAATATGCTCTATGCTGATGAATCTGCAAAAAATTGATAAGTTATGTTCTTTTCAATTAGACTCCGGCTTTCTTATTTATTCTCTTCTTTTTTATAGATGGTTCTCGCCCGGGTCCCATCGTCGTAGAGGATTTGCCAGAAGTTCAAGTTTGTCTGTCCAAAAAGTTGGGATACGTGAGTATATTCCTTACTTTTATTATGTACGAAGCCTGTAGGAAGATTTAAGCAGGAGAAACGATCCATTGAATTGCAATTGACTTTGAGAAAATTGAGCTCAATTGAGGTTCAATTTCATTTTGAGAAATTAAGCTCAATTGAGGTTCAATTTCTGGTATTGCCTTTACATTAAATTGAAGCACCTGAGTGGGCGATTAATGGAGCAGAGGCTGATTGTGTTCTTATGACATATTATCCACGAGCTGAGCACCATGATTATGAATCACCGCTAAAATATGTTTCTGTAGAATAATAGCAACCCATAATATAAAACTCATGAATGTAGACCTAAACAGTAGTTAAATAGCTGACCTAAATGTACATTTTTTCAAATAAAAGTCAATTCACGCACATACTTGAAGATCAAGCAACATTGAGTAATCCAGTGCAATCAAATTTTTTGACAGGTGACCATCGTTCTCTAATGAGATGAGTTTATGAGCCCGCCTCGTCCATTTTTGTCTCCGTTTTGTCTGTGACTGTGCGAGCTTGGCTCTGGTATATTTATTTATGCAGGATTTACGAACGCCATGTTTACACTAAGTCATCCAATGCAGTCAAATTTTTGTACAGGTGATGGAGAATGGCACGTTTGACGTGGAGGCTTTCAAGAGCCAAATCGCGCTCAATGTCGCCGGTAGCGACGACGAGGCGAACTTCAAGCTTGGGCTCGACAACTGTCCCACCGACGCACTTGCCAACAATTCTCTGGTAAATTAATTAAATATTTAACTAAAAATATTTATATATTTAACTAAATATTTAAGTGATATAAATACATAAATATTTAACTATATATTTAACTAAAAATTTTTAAGTAAATGTGGTTACTGGATTTAATTCATCGCAACGGTTGCTCTCTTCACATCTTTCATGGATTTTCAGTTGAGTAGTTCGATCAAGTGGTTAAAAAATTATAGTGTATGAAAACTATGAAATAAACAGAAGGATTAGTTTTAGACAAGAGATAAGTGGTTTCCTAGAACAGCAGTACCCCAATTAAAAATTCTGACATGTGAAATTGTTGTTGAATATATCATTCAAGTTTTGGATGACTAATTTAAGTCAATTTTGCAGCCTAATTGAGATTTTTCTTATTGACTTACAGATTCTTGAGTACATGGGATGCCTGGCGACGTACTGTGCCACAGGAGCTGGACCTCAACCTTTACCTGCCACCAGGACTTCATATCACTCCAGAACCCAAGGGCTGCAATCGAATTTCTTCACTAAATTTGATGCATTCTTCTCGTAAATGCTTTTGAATTTTCCATTTTTGGTTGTCTTTGACTTTTCCATCCTTGGTTGTCTTTGACATTTCCAGCTATGGTTGTCTTTGATTTTTCCATTTTTGCTTGTCTTTGAGTTTTCTATCTTTGGTTGTCTTTGATTTTTCCATCTTTGGTTTTTCCAACTTTGGTTGTCTTTGACTTTTCCATCTTTGGTTGTCTTTGATTTTCCATCCTTGGTCGTCTTTGACTTTTCCATCTTTGGTTGTCTTTGAATTTTCCATCTTTGGTTGTTCTTTGACTTTTCCATCTTTGGTTGTCATTGACTTTTCCATCTTTGGTTGTCTTTGACTTTTCCATCTTTGGTTGTCTTTGGCTTTTCCATCTTTGGTTGTCTTTGACTTTTCCTTCTTTGGTTGTCTTTGACTTTTCCATCTTTGGTTGTCTTAGAATTTTCTGTCTTGTCTATCTTTTGTTTCGGTGCCCAGGTTTTGTGTTGTGGTGCCAGATTTTTTACACGACCGAGTGGACGCGGCATGAGTCATGGGCGTGGATCTAAGGTTTGGTGATGCAACAAATGGACATGTCCCAAAATCTTTTTGCAACCAATCATTAAAACTGTTCCACATTGAAAGTTTTTAAACTTCACGGTCGGTGACAAGTGATTGGAAATTTCATGAAATTTTGCACAAAAATTGCATCGTGCACTTTTATCCGTTTTCAAATTACAGCACAGTAATGTATGAAATATTTTGCACCAAGTTTCCCTATTAACACATCAATCATTAATTCGAAAAATGTATCAGTGGCAGACATGATACTTTGACAAGACTTAATTACATTCACTAGGCACTTTGACACATCAAAAGGCATACAAAATTTGCTCTCGTCTATTTATTTGATCGAGCAGAAGTTAACCTAATGTTTGAGCATTTGTAAAACTTTTCCTTCATCATCTTCCATTATTCCTGCACCGCAAAAAAAATTGAAATTTGTTGTGTTTGTACAATTTCCCACAACTTTAGCACTTACGCCTCCTTATTGGATATGTTTGAAAATATAACTGCAACGAAAAAATATTTCTTATTATCCCTTCGGCTGACACGTTATCATTACGGTTGAAATGTTTTCATGAAGAAGTTTCTGATCACAGGAAATAAATCAAATCGTAAACAGGCATCAATGTCGCCGCGTATTTTTCTCTTAGCGTTCGAAATTGATCGAAGGAATTACAGATATCAACTTTCCTATGTCTATGATTGAATACAAAAAAGTATCGTTATGTATCATTTATTAGCAGAAATTCCCTATCCTCTACTGAAACGATTGAATTCCATAGGTGAGAAACCTTATTTTTTGGTGCAATGAACAGGGTTTAAATGTTACAAAACAGGTTGCTACTTGATCACACAACTTTATTTAGTTCATTTCTGATTACTAGAAAATTTACAATAACAATAATGTAACAATAGATAATTTTAGTGACATGTATTCGTTAATAGCAAATATTTCTAGGATGTAGCGATGCATGTAGTTAAAGTTTGAATTATCCCGTACTATCCTTCGTCAAACATGATCAAGTTTTAATCACTAAGGATATTAATATTATTGTTAGCGCGCTAACCGAAAACTTTAATCAGTCGTGTAAATTACTTGAGAATGATCGAGGCAAAGTTTTGAATCGCAATCTTAAAAGTTGGCTGAATTTTATGAACCAAATAAGTTATGCACGTAATCTTCTATATTATATTAGAATTTATAGAGGATTCTGATTAACAATAATTTTTTTTAATATCACCGGGAGCATGGCTTGCGTGCTTGGCGTCTTAGTGGTCCTGACTAACCCGCAATCTTTTTTTTTTTTAATTCAAACCCAGGACGGAGGGATCTAATTTTCTCTCAACTTACTTTGGTTTCGCCTTCTTCAGGAGTTTCAACGTTCTCGTTTTTGGGGTAACTGGACTATGAAGAGTTAAATCTATGTAACTCTACTGATTTACAGGTTAGTTTTAAGGTAACTGGACGATGAAGAGTTTATGTCTGTGTAACTCTACTGACTTACAGGACGGTTTTTTAGGTAACTGGACTATGAAGAGTTAAATCTTTGTAACTCTACTGATTTACAGGTTGGTTTTTGGGGTAACTGGACTATGAAGAGTTAAATCTATGTAACTCTACTGATTTACAGAATGGTTACTATGCGGCGGTTACTATGCTGATTTGCACAATTTCTCCCCTCTTTTTATTATAAACTTTCCCCCGTTTCTAAATTTGATAACAATGCAAATCTCATCAATTTGTCCACATTCGCTTACTTCTTCAACAGCGTTTTATAAGGTTAATTTTGAAGCGGATACTTTTAATGTTGCTAAAAAATTGGTTTTAACAACAAATTATTATTTGGGTACGAATTATAATTTGCTCGGCAAATTAAGAAGCGAGTCGCAAAATTTTAGTTTTTAAAGAATAGATAATTTGTGAATGCCTATGAAGTCTTATAGTGGCAACGATCAAGAGACTTTCCTGTAGCATATCGAAAGTTAAAAAAAGTTCGACTGTTTCATTGTTTGCTAACTAATAATCTAGTGCAACTAATTTATAGTTTAGATAAGAAAATAATATCGATCGGTTGGGGAATAAGGCTATAAGGAAGTTGTTGCTTTCCGTTTATTCGAAAATTTTAATTAGGGGAACTTAAAGCCTATAGAATTGAGAACCTCGTGATAAATTGACAAAACGAGTTAGAGAGCTATAATACTAAATATTAAAATAACTATAAATTTACCTTTTAATCGTAATGTTTTCTCCTACAATTAATTACAAGGACGTGTCGGTATAGCCGTCATTCTTTTATGCGGAAGCATATCTGACTTCTTTCAAAAATTAGACATGTCATTTGCATATTAATTTCTAGCTGGCTACATGATTGATCCGTTCAGCTAATTGTCACAATTCATTGGCTATGCTACTTGTCATGTTGCTTGTTCTTCGTTCATATACAGTACATATGTACATGTATAAATGTATTCATCCATGTACAAAACATGTATACATTTATAAGCTGCCCTGCACTGGCCGTGTGCGGAGCACTCTAGAGCTATACACGTACACACACACAAAATAAAATGAGCGAAGTCGATATCAACCTCTTGGCTGAATGCCGGTCATATCAGCACCTCATATCATCTTCTTTTTAGGCATCCGCCTCATGACTTTTGGATCCAACATCAGCCACATGGCTGACCATCGACATGGCTGAGTGACGACATGGCAATTTATTTTTCCCACAAGCCATTGGGCTAAATGCCAGCCAGTTAAGCCAGGCGTTGCGCCAGATGGCTTGGATAGGCTAGTGTTTACGGTGTGGGATATAAAACAAAAAAATATGAGTGACAGAGAGCGCATTTTCTCGTCGACGAAAACGCGAAGTCACGGACGGACAGACAGACGGACGGACAGACGGACGGACAGACGGACGGACAGACGGACGGACATGGCGAGCACTATAGTGAATTTTTTTCCATAAATGAGAAAATGCGCTAAAAAGAAATAGATAAAGAAAAATGTAAAATTGATTTAGGGAGAACTTTGTAAGTGTGGTCGTGATTACACAATGAATTGTTACGAGTAGAGGAATTGGAGTGTAATGGTTTAAACTAGCGTAAATATCTTCTAGGTTATCTGGTAAAACTTAACAGTTAGATTTAATTCGCGAATCATCAAATCACATCTCCTACTTTGTTCATAATCTTGGGTGTTGGTGATTCTCTATAATGAAGAAATGTTAGTAAAAAAACAAAAAAATATAACTCAGTACTCACTGCAGTGAGTGACGGAGAGCGCATTTTCTCGTCAACGAAAACGCGAAGTCACGGACGGACAGATAGACAGACAGACGGACAGACGGACGGACAGACGGACGGACAGACGGAAGGACAGATGGACGGACAGACGGACGGACAGACGGACGGACATGGCGAGCACTATAGTGCATTTTTTCCATAAATGAGAAATACGCTAAAAAGGAATAGATAAATAAAAATGTAAAATTGATTTAAGGAAAATGTTGTAGGTATGTTCGTGATAACACAATAAATTGTTAGGAGTAGAGGAATTGGAGTTTAATGGTTTAAACTAGCGGAAATATCTTCTAGGTTATCTGGCAAAACTTAACAGTTAAATTTAATTTACGAGTCATCAAATCACATCTCCTACTACGTGCATAATCTTGGGTGTTGGTGATTCTCTATAATGAAGAAATGTTAGTAAAATGGATAGACGATCAGAATTATTTTTTGTTGAATTTGTTGCACTTAAATTATCCTGGAAGTACCAAAGTTCGGTTGAAATGCGTATTATTTTCTCATTGCATACGATTATGTGTAACTCATTTTACCTTGTCATCAATTGTATTCGCTTCATGGTCCAGATCGATGCTTATTCTACCTTTTGAATGTTGTCACCCAAAATAAGATTGAAACATAACAAAACAAAACACATATAGAATTTTGATGCTGCTAATGATTAGTGAGAAGAAAAGATTAATTGGTGGTAGCGACGGTTATCTTTAATTCAACCTAACCATCGATAATTGCTTCGTTTTCACATATTCTTTAGTTGACATCGTTTTTTATGACGCTGTCAAGGATTGACCTACGGTAGAATCAGTGTGAAGTGGTGATGATAGAGCCACGGGTGATGGTGACAGTGTCAGTCCCTTCCATTCGCTAAGTATGGCAGGTAAAGGCAGCAGCAAGCACACCTCAAAGACCAACTTGGCCTCAGTCTGTCTGGCGATCTTGCGCTAGACGAAGTGCGAGCGGCGGTGATGCGCGCGACTCTCCTTCGATCCTGGGTTGCCCGCTTTCGGCCATTGTGCCTATACTTCCCAGTGCTGTAGAAAAACAATCTTTGGTTCCGTAGATCGTTTGCACTCTAAGCTGCCAGCAGTGATTTTAATTGAGAGTTAACACTCAAGGGAACTTATAAACATTTCTAAATTTTGCTTAAAACTTAATACTATCAGAAAGTTGTAAATATTTTTGAAATTTATGACTGATGATGCCATCTTTTGGTTTTCTTGGTGTATATCCGTACAATGATTGTCTGTGTTTCTGCTTGAACATTCGTAAGAGGAAATACGATTATTTCGAC